AACTCTGGTTCTCTGTAGTTATTGACCACAGACAACATTGAAGTTGACACACCGCCCTCCTTTATACAAAGTATTGTTATCAAATTGTCATGTTTTCCTTAAATCGGGCTTTTGATCTATTTCTTAAAACTATTTTTCTATCCGTTATAACTCCTGTTTGGTTCCATTTCTTACTGCTTTTCGACAATCCCATAAACTGAAGGCGGAACCGTTTTTATAGCTGGTCGTCTTGTGTTTCCACCTCGCTTATGGGGCGGATCACCTTGAAGTATCATTTTTTTCATTATTTTTCCAATGATCCAAAGGACATGTATCGGGTTGCGATACACCTAACGAAACTACACAGGCGCTTCACAAGCTAAAGTGTGCTCCATGGTCCTTGGGCTGCTACTAAGTCATTACTGTAACGGACTAAGAAACTTCACATAGCCGAACGGCACGGTGTATATAACATTTGCCCTCGTGCCTAAGCCCTTCTGACCTGCTGATGACATAGCAAACATGTAGAAGGGCTCCAACGTGACCGTAGAAATTTGAGTGTGTAACGCTTCTCCTGCAGTATTACTGGCTACGGTCCGTTCTGTATGGTACCCGATCCAACCACGAAAATTAAAAGACAAGGCTCAGTTGACGGTGTGCATTTTATGGAAAGGACGGTTCTGTTTATAGGGAACAGTGATCACCTCAGTTTAGCGTCCTGGCGTCAACTAATGTGAGCGCGTTCCCCTATCCTGGTTTGCCATATTTGGCCGTTTGTTCCTCTCACGTCACGACCCTCGTTCACCCAGTTGGCATTTACCTAAGTTTGCCAGCCAATCACATCGCGCCTGTATTCCATACTTGGCGGACTGTATCCGCGTCAAGGTACAAACGCTATCATACGATCAGCGTTCAAATGAGTTCGCCAGCTACTGATGTCGTCCCTGGTTTCTATAGTTGGTTGGCGCTTTGCGAATCTGGCGTGACGCCCGTTCTAGCAGTAGGCATGGTCTAGTATCGTAAGACCTTGCTGGGGGTATTCGCTCGGTTTAGCCGCCTAACGGGAAGCCATGACGTAAGTGTCCACTGAAGGTAGGTAATCGAACAATTATCACACATATTACTTTTATCACCCCCCATTCACATCATTTATTTTGTCTTGCGGACAATCATTTCAATGTGCATCAACCGTTCCTTTTCACGTGTGGTCAATTCCAGCTTTAGTGCTAAGCAACCGCGGGATTGATCTTTCCGTGGGGGTCTAAGGTGCACACATCTTATCGGGACGACAACATTCTGCACAGTACGCGACCTTTTTTCCTACAGTCGGCAACCGAGTTGCGCAGATCATTTTCCAATACTCCAAATTATGATGATTGACTTGTGCGTTAACTCACGAGATGTTATGGGCAAATTAACACCCCTCAGCTGCATGACCTGGTTGTACAGCAGAGATGTGTGAATCACACGTTACTGACTTGCTTATGAATTTCCCGATAAAGCGCTCGGCTATTCAGAAAACTGCTCAATTATTGAAGGCAGATTTAATGCTTCAACCTACCCGCCTTTCGAAAGTTTACAGCAACCTCTTCATCGTGAATCGACTTCCTGAGTAAAAGTCGAAGCATCAAGTTCACTTCATTTCCCCTTAAATTGGGATAGCCTGCAACCGTATCTTGCGGCGCGCATATAAATAAACAAATAAATAGACTTTTTGTTCTCGACAACGCGAAGCATGTCTTTCTAGGCATGATCATGTTATGATAACGAAATACATGTTTGCCATAACAGTGAGTGTATGGATGTGTATGTAATTGTGTATATGTGTAGCTTATGTGATGAATCGTACGAATCAGTAGGGTTAACACACACCCTGTTGTTCCCAATTGCTATCCCATCAGTATTCCACACTCTGCACACGACTTTTCGAGGTGTTTCTGCGTCTTCCGATGGTTGACTTAGCATGTGGTGATGAAGACAACTACTCGTCGCCAATTCACATACATTTTATCTGGAGCTGGCAGTCATTGGTGCAGATTTGCATTAAGTGAGACACGGTGAAAGCACTTTGAACCTGGGAGCGTTATTTGAATCTTGCCTGTAAACTACTAGAGCCATGCGTTCATGGATATCAGCAAATAACCCATCGCTTCTAGCCCCTACCCTCATTTTATTCCTCTATTCTGCTTCCGATGATTGAGTGACTATTGTAGACCTAATCTTGTGTTAGCATGTTACCATCTATGTACATTCAAACGTATACGTGTTTTTCTGAGAACTAGCAAAGACCATTTCCCCGCGGATTTTTCTCTTTCCGCCCGTCGGAAAAGCATGTACATGCATGAGTCCACTAATATCCCTGTTTCTCTGTCAGGTGCGGCTGCTAAATCAGCTGCTATCGGGATTAATCGCTGCTACCAACGAGTTGAAGCCTTTCTTCCTATTTGTTTTCTGTGATGTGGACATTACTAATTATTCCAGCTATCAATTTCTACTTTTTTGTTTCCCTCAGGCTACTTACCACTGGGTCCGTGGCTGCACCCGTTGTTTATCCATTACGCTCAGCGCGGTGCTTTCTGTGGCTTTCGTTTCCTCTCTTAGTTTTCCGTATCACCACGAGCAGTTAAAGTCCGTTTCTTTACGTTTAAGCATTGGATGTTGTCCGCTTGCAACACCCTGCACCCCTCGATCGGTTTTCTACTTATCTTGGTTTTTCAGTCGGAGAAGTCAGACCTACTGCTGTAACTCAGGACGTCAGCCGAAATCTCCATCTTTAAGCCACCGAGTCACGACAAACAGCGCTTGTCACAACGGTTAAGGATTGATTGGAGAGGTCATTTTGAAACACTGGCTGTGTACATGAATTGCTATGCACAGGCTCCAGACACGACTACAATTCATTTTGGTCCGTCAATTCCTGTCACTGGGACCGTAACTGATGTTTATAACTATTTTCCGCTATCTCTACTGGATGATTGCTGATGAGTACCAAACCGGCCATAGAATGCCGCGCTGTGATAGTGCAGCATCTGATATCTATCCGCCTCACTCGGTCTTTGAATCTCGGAACTAGTTCCGAGATTCAAAGACCGAGTGCCTGATCATCTCCAATCGATGTTAATCTACCGGTTCACCTGCCCGTGCGGGGCTAGGTACGTTGGACGGACGACCAGGCATCTAGGTAAGAGGATTAAGGAACACCTGCCAGTTTGGCTCTACAAGCGCGAGAATAGAACAAACTACAGTGCGATTACAAACCATCTAATAAACACAGGTCACCAGATAGACAAACGAACAGCCTTTCAAATTCTCTACAAAATACCATCAAGACAAAGCCATCGTCTAAGAGCAAGCATACTCGCCACCACTGAGACAATATGTATACGTCTAACAAATCCGGACTTGTGTGTTCAGAAGAAACTAATACAAACACTGCAATTTCCCTGGCCGACCACCAGCCGTGAAGGAAGTAATGGTACCCCACAAATTCACCTGACTTCAGGCACGTGATCAGATGAATGCCATCATGATCACAAGTTAAATTTTCTGATCAATTGTTTCTTTGTTACACTAACCATTGCAACCGACGTTAACATAATGTATATTACTATATGAGCCTGATGAAGAAGTAATCGAAAACAATTGTTTGCTCAAAGCTTCGTGTTTTGTTTATGTTTCAAATGAATTTTGTGGACGCAAGTCTTATCAGAAGAACCGACGGATCAATCCAAATAAAGTATACAAGAAACCATATTGGATGGGACAATACATTAACTTTCATAGTTTCGCCCGACTTAGCCAAAAAAAGAACGCTTCTGCGAACACTAACCGATCGGGCATATAAAATCTGCAGCGAAGACATCATAAAAGCCGAACTTGTACGAATCAAAGAAGCACTTCTCGAAAATGAATATCCGGAGCGATTTCTCGAGACCAAAAGTATCAAAACAAACCGTTGACAAGAAACAGCTTTACCAGACTCTTCCATTCAAAGGAAATAGTGCGGCTGAGACATGCACGCGTCGACTATAGCAAAACTGCAAAAAGACCTTTAATGCGGCTCAGCTGAATGTGGTTTTCAAGAGCAGACCTTTACTAGTTCCGAGATTCAAAGACCGAGTGCCTGATCATCTCCAATCAATGTTAATCTACCGGTCCCCCTGCCCGTGCGCGGCCAGCTACATTAAAAGGACGGTCAGGCATTTAGGTAGTAGAATTAAGGAACACGTCCCAGATTGGCTCTACAATCGCGAGAATAGGACACACTACAGCGCGATTACGAACCATCTAATCAACACAGGCCACCAGATAAACAAACAAACGCCTTTCAGATTCTCTAAATACTACCAAGGCATAACCATCGTGTAAGAGCAAGCCTACTTGCAACCGCTGAGGCAATATGCATACGCCTGATAAACCTGGACTTGTGTGTCCAGAAGAAGATGATACAAACACTACAACTTCCGTGGCCGACCACCAGAGGGGAAGGAAGTGATGGTACTCCGCAACTCCAACTGACTTCAGTCATGTGATCAGATGACTGCCATTATGATCACAAGCTACTCCCCGCTTACTTCAACTTGTGGAGGCCTCAGCATTTCGGCGGCTGAAACCAAATGTATGCAAGCAAATGGATTTCGTGACTACGCTAGCCCTTCCCTGGTGAGGCTAGTGTTTCCATTTTCCTCGGAACGGGTCACCTGAGCCTAAGGGCCTTCGACCGCTTTGAATATTTTGCCGTTAACATCGCATTTTGATTGTCTGATATATAGCCTGTGTATTCCACTAGTTGTTTCTTTGTTCTACTGACGATTGCAACAGATCTTACACTAATGTATATTATTGTATGAGGCTGACGAAGAATTAATCGAAAACAATTGTTCGCTTAACGCTTCGTGTTTTGTCTCTTTTTCTGAACTTTTGTTCTCAACTTTGTTCAGCTTTGCAGCGTCGGAATGCGTTTCCGATTGTCTCCACTCTTTGTCTGAATTCCGTGTCTTTGCCATTGCCTTCCCTCACAGGCTAATCGCGAATACTTACTTGCACGAAACATGCTCAAATGGAAGCCTTGGGAGCCTCTCATTGAAACGCCCCCTGCCAATCAGTGGAAATGGCCCATTTGACACTTTTTTTGCGTCCCCCTTCACTTCAGCGTTGCGAATTTACCACAATATAGTCAATATAGCTTTATGCATTGCATACTTCTCCGTTTTCTACTATATTTGGAACACGGGTCGGATTGTCACGGATGTGTTTGTGACACCTTTTTCTGCTTAGCATTAGTATAGGTGTGCCAGGGGCTGTATTGGTTTACCACTCCAACTTAGATGCAGTTCAGTTGCCATGCAATCGGGCTTTTCTTATGTGACCTGAAACATCGCTTCTTTTTAAAGCGCCAAATCTATCCTTCCTCTTCACGCTCAGCGCAGCAACTGATAGAGATTTGCCTACAACCCACTGCAGCGTATTTGGGGAGTGAAGTAATTGGGAATGCGCCTGTTGCTGGCGGTCGCAAACCCCAGACAAACGAAGATGTATGGTCCAGATGACGTCAATTGGAAAGATATCGAGGTTACAATCGCAAATGCGCTTGAACACAACATCCATCTGACTCTTTACACCGACTTCAGCTCGATTTGGGCCAACAATTGTCGAAGCCTGGCGTTGCTGCATAGACAGATCTTATAAGTACTCAAATCACAAGGCGGTCATTTTTCTGTCAGATGTGACAGAGTGCCGCCTTATGCTCACTTCTAAATGCACCGGTGCTAGGTGGTAAGCTCCAGTTCATTTAACTCACCCCTGTCTAACTTCGTTAACACCCTGTGAGAGTTTCACCTCCGTTTTGTGAATTGGAACTGTCGTCCCCTTTCAGTACAGTGATGGCAGCACTTCGGCAGTCGGTTGTAGTGGTCAGCCTGTAGACCGTTCACGATGTATCAGGAACTTTGAGTTACTTTGTTTTCTGCCTACGAGCCCGCGCGCACTCCTACCTCTTAACAAGATGAGACAATGTCGTACTTTTTCAGACCAGTCTTTGGTTGTTTTTCTGTGTACCTAGACACACTGGATCCACTTTACTAGTGTCCACTGTGAACGATGCGATCTACCAGGTTAACAACAAGTTTGCATGCATTCATTTAAAAAAGCAGGCAGTCTGCTATCCCATTTTCCCGGCGGCGGAATTCGTCGCTCGTGTTGTTCTTATTCAAACGGCGTCCGGTAATTTCTCCAAGTTCTTTCCGTCGCAAGGGCTGGTACACTGGGCCGATGTCACTGTACATGTTGATTGAATCTTTTGTTGAGGACCAGACTTCCAGGAACCCTTTCTCTTCTTGTCTCGCCTCGTGCCAAGACTTCTGTTTTGACCCAATCGAAGTTGTATTCTTTTTTGTCCAAGTGCGCTGAAACTAGCGGTGATGCTTAGTGCTTTTTGTGCTCTCGTATTCGTGTTGCTAATTTTCTTCCTATTTGGCCGACGTAGTCCTTTTCACAAGTTATACAATGTAGTCTATGTACAACGCTTTGTCCATGCGCTTCCAGTTTTTCCTTTGGTTTTGACAGGATTCTCCTCATGTTGGCAGTTGGTTTATGTGCTACGATGAGGCGATGCCGTTTAAATAGTCTTGCCGCCATTTCAGATATGACTTCATATAAAGCAAAACAGCTTGTCTCTCCGTCGTTGCTCTAAATTGCCTGTTTGCGTTGTTGTTGTTGTTGTTCACATACTTTTAGATGATGCTTTGCGGGTATCTTTTGAGTTGGAAACATTTAACTAGACGCTTCTTTTGTTGCTTTGCCTCCGCGGTACTACGGTGGGTTTGCACACTACGACATAGTGTCCGCACCCAGCTTACTTTTTGGCATTTCGGGTGGTTGCTGTTAAAGTTCAGAATTTGGTCTGTTTTGTGTCTTTCCTGTAAACTGGTCTTTGCAACCTCCCTGTTATGGTTCTGGTTACTAATACGTCCAGGAATGACAGTTGACTTTCAGTAACAAGTTCCATCGTAAATCGGATGTCTTCAATGGAGCTGTTCAATAGCTGCTGTGCGACTGTAACTTGACTGCGTATGATGATCACAAAAGTGTCGTCAACATATCGGACCCACAGTTTCGGATTAGTGAGTGAAAGTACATCCCCTTCCAATTTCTGCATAACCATCTCTGCAACGAGTCCTGATACAGGTGAATCCATTGGCGTGTCTCCCAATTTTTCGTAGATCTTACTGTTGAAAGAGAAGTAGGTTGACAGACACAACTGGAATAGCTCGCATAGATGTTCGATCCTCATGTTCCCGATTGGTAGTTCATTGCTGTTCAGTCGTTCTGTGATGACCGCTGTTGCCATCTGCAAGTTGACAGATATTAAAAGGGTAGTCACGTCGAAAGATATGATTGTTTCTTCATCATCTATTCGCAGGTCTTTGAGCTTTTGTAGAAATTGCTGGGCATTGGTTATGGAATATTGCGATTCACAGGTCAGATGTTTGAGGCGTCTTTGCATTTCTTTCGTTAACTCGTAGGTGGGTGTTCCTGATTGTTACACGATCGGCTGTAATGATGCACCATCTTTGTGTATCTTTGGGAGTCCATAGAATTGCGCGATGTTCGAGTCGCAGACTCTCATTCTCTCGCTCTCCTTCTTCATGATTTGGTTCCTTTCCTGAAGCTGTTTCAATACTCTGTTTATTTTGTTTGCCATCTGCGAGGTTGGATCGGTGTCGATGCGCTTGTAGATTGTTGTGTCGTTCAAGAGACGTAAAGCTTTCTCAGTGTAATCCTCTCTATCCATTATGACAGTCATCTGTCTCTTGTCTGACTGCAGGATGTTAATCGTTTCGTCAGACTTTAAGGTTTTTATTGCCTCCTTTTCTTATCTTGTTAGGATATTGTATTGCTTGTTGCGCATTATAGCTGGAACAATTGTGTATCTGATTTGCTTTTGAGCCTCTTCATCAAATCCATTGGATTGTAGGGCGCTTTCGAATGCTGCCAAAAAGTCTAGTTTTGGCATCTTAAGTTAAAGTTTAGTCTCTTGCTGAGAACTTACTGTTCAGATTCGTTGATTGGTCGGTTAGACAAATTTTTGATCCAGGTATTACTGGTAGTTCTGTCTGTAGCCGAGGTCAATTTTGATAACGTATCGAGAAGTGAAGTATGCTTCTTTGTCCTAGTATTTGTTGCCTGACGTTCTACTGCAGCGTCAAATTGTTCTGTTACTTGTTGTCCAATGAATTGAAGACAGATAGACCGATGTTCGTTCAGACATCGTTCATATTTCTTGAAGCGCTTTTGAGCGTCTGTGATCATCGGCTGCATCAATGTAGGCTATCATGACTCCACCAAATCCAGCCTAGCTTCATCAGCCTTGTGCTGCACGAAACGACAAAATGGTCGAAGAATGATGAGAGAAAGCATCTCCGAGACTGCGGCGGTACAAGCGAACGTCATCATCACAGTAAGAGATTCCCAACAAGTTTATGTTCATACACGGCAAAACCTGCCACGAAGCTTCTGAAGTCGCCGAATTCAACGAGAGCACGGAAAGTAACATCATCATTGCTTACAGGAGAGAATGAACGAACACTCAGCGCAAATATGGAGAAAACAACAGGGAGAGGCTGACTCCCATTGTGCTGAAACGCTTTGAAGAAACCGCTGAACAGCGTTCCGAGGACACTGATGCAGCTGCAACAGTGGCTGAGCGAGGACGGGAACCACCTATCCTTGTCTACTGTCTTCAACACTCTCAGGAGCTTAAGATAACGCTCAAAAAGTGCCACTATGAGCTAAAACGCGTCAACGGTGCCACAACAATCGCAATCTGACCAGCCTATGCCATTTTGACGACGAACTCAGGCAGATTGGGATAATTTCCAAACTGTCACACCTCTGTACCCAACTGTACGGTCGCGGTACTTGGCCCATGAGAGCTACAAAAGTATTAAGACTAATTGCTTTTGACTACTGAAACTTTGTGTTTAGATCCTATCTGCTAGAGTGCCGCGTGAACAATTACCGTGTTCGGCGTCTTGTATATAGGAAAGAAAAAGTAAGCTAATCGCTCAACACCGTTATTCCGGGCACTAAACTCCGTAGGTGTTACTCGTGTCAGCACCTCAGCTCTTGTCACTTGTCTTGTTCGTCTGGCCGCGGCATGAATGACAAAAAAGCGGGGAGGTCAACCAACGACTTGCACATAGAGCATGAAGGTCCTCACTCCAAACTTGGGTTTGGTCGGTGCTTCCCAATTTCTGCGTTCTAATTTCAATGACAATGAGCACTTTTGGTTGGATACAGTTGTTGACCTGACAGAGTCGACCTTAGTTGTGTTGATTTTGTACGGTTTTATATCTTCCCTACCGCTCAGCCGTTTTCCTGAATGAATCAAGGCCAGAAAACAGTTCAGGGTTAAGATATCTTTTCGGTAAAATCTCGTCAGACCCAAACTTTTACATGACACGGATTATGTGGGGTAAGCGTCAAATCGGGCTGGGATTGATTTCTAAGGTGTTTGAAAGGTCAAGATCGATGACTTAAGGTGGCTACAGATGGTAGGAAAAGTGCATCAAAGGAAATTAATACAAGCTTCAGGGCCTAAAGTAAATAGCTAAGGTCACAAAGGGTAGTTAAGTAACCATGTCAGTCGGCCAAGGTAGTAGTATCGGCCGTGTGAATCGTTTGTGCACGCATAATTCCGGCTTCAGATGATGGATGTAAATAGCCTCGGCGATAGACAAGATTTGCTTTCGGAAGCCTTGTGATAAGCGTTCAGGTAGTGAATAGATGACTTTAAAGTCATTCTCCGATGCAGTATGGCCACTTTCGAGGAGGTGCGACATGATTGAGCTGTCTGAGGCCCTCATTTCGCCTTTGTAAAACCACGCCGGGATGTGCTCGCGAATCCTCTGGGATAGACGTCTCGTTGTGCGACCCACGTATCGTGCACCACAAGAGCACGAGTACTGATAAACGAGCATTGAACGGGTCAACGATGGCAGACTATCTTTCAAGGGTTTTGCGAGCAATGGTTTGTTGTGGTAAACAATTCTTAAGCGGGCTGCGAAATAAGTTTTCTCAACAGCATCTTTCAAACGTCGAGATAGGATATCAGCTGCAGTGTCGCCCTTAAATGGTAAATGTATGAACAGCTCTTTCTTGGGAGCAATGCTTCTAGGTGGCTTTCGCTTG